CTGGGAGAGGGGCAGGGAGCGTGCTGGCTGCCAGCCCCGCCCCCCGGGGACTGTCGAATAGTCGTGTAACCGCTAAAATGTGATCCGGTTACACAATTTATTCAGTTACTTGATATCTAACATCCCTAATGCACATCAGAAAAGCAGCAGACATTTGATCTGTCTTGCAAGGGAGAAGCCAGCAGTCAATAAAGCTAGAACTGGGAGAGGGGCAGGGAGCGTGCTGGCTGCCAGCCCCGCCCCCCGGGGACTGTCGAATAGTCGTGTAACCGCTAAAATGTGATCCGGTTACACAATTTATTCAGTTACTTGATATCTAACATCCCTAATGCACATCAGAAAAGCAGCAGACATTTGATCTGTCTTGCAAGGGAGAAGCCAGCAGTCAATAAAGCTAGAACAATCTCTGTACCATATCTGGCTCCTAAGTCCATCTGTAAAGAGTCAAGGAAATAGGACGTCTCCAGATTACCTTAAAGACCCTAGTCCCTTGGTTAGAATGCTCCCATCAGTATATGGGCAAAGGTATGGGACTGGAGCAGGAAAGAGGCAAAATGGAGGTCTGTCCAGGCCAGGGCCTTTTAGCTTCTGCCAAGTGAAGGGAAATCTCTTCTCCCTGTGAAAGATGGTGTGAGAGTCACATGGGCAAATTACATCTCTATCACCCTGCTCTCCATATAGTTCCCAAAAAGTCCCTTAAGTCTAGAAAGGTGTTTCCAGAGTCCATTTTGAGCTAAGTGTTCCTTTCAACTTGACTTGTCCCTTCATATTCTGGCTCAGTGGCATTACTGCAAGAGCAAACATTCAGTGAACATAACGAATATTTATAACTTCAGATGCCAAGATATCTGGCTAGAAATAGCATAATCTAGAAGTACCAGCTATTTCACACACATGGCTATTCCCAAAGAGACTGAGAGAAATCACATCGCGTACCTGAGACCCTAAGTGCCATGCCCTATTGGAGTTTTGTTACCCATTACGTTCTGTTCCTGAGATGGAGCCAGAGATGTGACTCTTAAGCCTAAAAGGGCAAAGGTTAATTTTCAGCTGTTCAGATGTGACTGTGCCTTTAGACAGTGAGGGCACATGCTGGCGGGCACACATTCAGGGGAATGGGGATCAGCGTGCCTTTGCAATGACCAGGTTTATGAAGATTAACAAGCTATGTGCTGAGGTGTGTTAAAGCATAACAGGTGCCAATGTGTGAACTTCTGCCGCTTTGAGATTTCATTTTATTTTTGCAGGTCACACTTTGAACATGAGCCTGTCCACCCTCTAATCTTGAGTCTTGCCCAGACCTGGAAAGCGCTCCTCTCTCTTGAGGGGAGAGTTCAGTCTCCACAACCCATTTGGGCCGCAGCCTCTCGGCTGAGGCAACTAAGGTTACGTCTACACAGCAGAGACAAAGCCGAAATAAACTGCACAGCTGGAGCTATGTCAATGGCGTAGCTAAAGTTGAACTAGCTTAACTTGGCTTTTGGTGCTGTCTACCTCAGACTTCCTGCTGCGTAGAGCACTCTCCCTCCGACTTCCCTTCCTCCCCGTGAAATGAGGGTTGCAGCAGAGTAACGAGTCCTCCAGCTCGACATGATTTCGACATTTTGTCCAAGTAACTGCTTGTAGTGTAGATGTAATAACGCTGCTGTGTAAACATAGCTGAGGAGGCCAAGTAGTGCCAATTCCAATGGGTTTTTTTGTGAAGGGAGCACCTGTGTCACTGGGAGGAAGGCAGCTATGCCGCATACTGATCTCTCCCTCTGGCTTGTGTGTTCTCATTTCAGGTTCTGTTAACGCTGGATGATGACCTGGATTCCGTGCGCAGAGACAAGATCCCTGTATTCTGAATGCCGGGAGGTGGTGGTGGGGGCCTGGCATTCTTGATTCTCCTCTGTGGAGGGAATGGAGCCGGCAGCCAGCACTGTCTGGGGGGAAGAACCTGCCTTTGCACAAACAGCCCCCCAGGTTCAGAGGGAGGAGCAGCTGGATCCCACACCAGCAAATAGGAGGTGGCTGTAATAAATGAAAGCAAGACCTGAAGGGTAGACAACCCTGCCTGTTCCTGCTCCTGCCAATCGTTGGATCAGCGTAGCCAGCCAGCATCCTGCGTCCTCTCCCCGCTGGCTGCAGGAAGTCAAGCAGCAGTGAGAAAGCTGTGGCTATGGTGTGTGTTCCTCCAGGGGTGACTCAAACGGTGTTTACATTTTCCTACAACCTCTGCTGCCACCCACCAGTCTGAAGCTGCCCCAGGGAGCAGTGTCTCTCTGCATGGCAACAACCCCAGCAGTGCAGTGGGGACATGAGACTGAGGTGGGGAAGAGCAGCTGAACCTAGCTCTTGAGTCCTTCGCCTACCTTGGAGTTGTATTGCACCTTCTCTTCCATCGCTATGGTCAGCAGGGGCAATGCAGGTTCCCCTCATGTTTACAAGTGTTCCCTTGTGCCCATTGGCCTCTACTATCAACTGGGCTGCTCTGCACCTCTGACCACATCCATGGGCCCCTGCAGCCTGTGCGGGGAAGGTGTTAGCTCTGCCTGGTGCAGGTAGCAAACAAAGGACAGGCACACACCTGTAGCCCTAGTGTTTGGGCTTGAGCTGCTTCAACCTGCAGCTGGAAGAACCTTAGGCCAGTGAAAAGCATCAGGCCCACCAAACTGAAAAGCAACAGCTGTGGGCGATGGGGCACAGCAGCGGGGGCCTTCTACTACCTTCATTGTGGTGGCCCTAAATGTAGATGAGTTTGCTCCTTCCTTGGACTGTGCTTTGGGAGGGGCAGGGGAGAGTTCAGGAGTGGCTCTCAGCTGGAGCTCAGCTTATTGTTGGCTCCCCTCTTGCATCTGAAATGACATCCCCTGTCCTGAGTACCAGTAGCAGTTTTGCACTTGACTTCAGTGAACGCAGGGTCAGGCCCAGAGTGAAGGAACTTGGGAACTGGGGTCTTTCAGAGATGCTGAATTTACAAGCTACCATTTGCACTGGAGGGGAAGTTAGCAAAGCAGGCTCCTAGTGGGAAGGCGGGGGGAATTCTCATCCGAACTATCTCCCCTCAGTCCTGCTGTAGCCATACCACACTGTTGAATTTTTGTAAATAGCTTCTGCTTTTTTACTGTTGCCATAATTGCTACATCAGTTAAAAACACAAACATGGTGTGAAATGTTGCAGGTGCTGTTGCTAACTTTTAATTTAAAAAAATAGTATTAATTAAAGGCCTCCTGTAACTTTTTAAAAAAAGTTACACTGGAGTATGGTTGAATTGTCAAAAGGGGGGGCGGGGAGGTAGGTGTATGTAATTCTGTGGCAGCTTTTGCATAGAGGCCATGATCTGCCAGCATTTACTTCTGTGGTGAAGCTGTGCGTGGAGAAGTGTCAGCCCTAGAAGAAGTCACAGGGCCTAGTTGAGATGTACAACCCTACAAATAGAGTTTTTCTAATTCCCAGTCCCTCTGCCTTCACAGGGGCTAGTTCTTACCTTCTGCATTATTCTTGCTAAGAAAAGTGATCCAGACCCCGTGCTGCCCTTACTGAGGCCTGTACAAACAAGCTGCTGGCAGTGGGCATAATTAAGAGCAAAAACGGGCCCTGTTAATGGAACTTTATAAACAAAGCTGGGGCTGCTGGCTGAGCTGGGAGTGATTGTTTCATTTTCACTTAGCCATGTTTTCCTTGTAGGGCCACTGGAATAAAGAACCATCCTGGGGCAGCTAATCTGCTGAATGAGATAAGGGCCTTTTTAGCTTATCACTTCCCAAGTAGACTGACATTTGGCCGTAGATGCTTTCTAAGTGCCAAATGACTCTGTCTGGATATGAGTGGTGGCAAAATCTAATGAAACAGCTTTAGGCGTTCCTTACAAAAATGCTGACTACCTGCCGTGTCCATGGCTTTCAGCTGGAGTTGTGGGTGCTCTTGCGTTAGGTTCCTCCCAAATCAGTGACCTCTTTTGAAAAGATTGGCCGAAAGGTTTGTACAAAGTGGGACTTGTTGGACTGTGAATAATCCTCATCTGTTCCAAAACTTCCACCCGGCTCTCACCATGTGTTCTTTGCTAAGAATAAATGACACAGTCCAGGGTCTGCTATGCCCTGCAACAAAGCTGCAGAGGAGGAGAAGGAGATGAAGATGAATGAGGGCAAAACAGGTTCAGGAAGGTTCCCTAATGAGAATTTTTTTTTGGGGGGGGGACACTAAGACTCCCCCATTAACTGCAGTAAGGGTGAGCTCATGAAAACAGCATTGGCTATAGGTCAGGCTATGTCCCAGTGGTGCTACCTCAAGAAGTATCTGAACATCCCTCTACTTTGACTTAATAAAACACCCGCAGAAGGTACCTCACCCTGTTTGTCCCACTAATACGTTGGGTCCAAGGTGGTAGCAGCCAACGCCTCAGGCAGAGGGGAATGCTCTGGATGAGCACTGGGACAAGTGGTGGGACTGCTGTCAAGCAGAATAGGTGAAGAGATGCCTTCTCATAGTCTAGCTCAGTGTTTCTTAAATTTAAGAGCAAGGCATACCAAACAATTATTTTTTATGAGGTACACCAAGGACTGTTAGTTGAGGAAAAAGTTACCTGCCCCTTTAAGGGTGGCCATTCTGAATTCTGTTGTTCTCTGTGGAACACAGTTTATGAAACACTGTCCTATACCTTCCAGGGCTCGCTGTACCCTCCAGGCGAACAGCGCAAGGGGAGACTGATGGCCACAATCAGCTTCCCTTCAAGGTTCACATACAGGGTGTGTGGTAGGGAGCTTTCACTGCCCTGATAAAGAACCAGCCTTTAGTGGCATCTGTGGACAAAGGAGGTGCTAGAGTCACAAAGGGATTTAGGTGCCTACCTGCTAAGATTTACATGTGTAGCACACCTGCTCAGTACTGCCTAAACCTGGAGATGCCACTTCTGAGCAAAGCTGCCGAAGTCCTGATGAGGCTAAACTGCTGAGACAGACACACCTAAGCCTCAGAGGGCGTCACATGCTAGGTCAAAACTGGTAGGCGTGCTCAGCGCATATTCACTTTGTAGTCCAGTGGAGAGGTAGGACACACTCCTTGGAGATGCAGCCCCCAACTTGGTCCCCCAACTCCTGGGTGAGTGCTCCCCAGCCCGGGCTCAGGGTAGCACAGCACCCCCACCAACTAGGCTTTGTGTGGGGTTTTTTTGGGTGGGGGCGTTCCTTCCCCCTCCCCCCCCAAGAAGGGGCTGACGGTTTAGGCACCTAACTCCAGGACAGGATTCACAACTGAGCAACCAGCACCTATGCTGGCCCCTGCATTGTAGGAGGAACTTGTACACCTAACTTCAAGATGTGACAGCAACTGGCTAGCAGGGTGCTGAACTGTTAGGTGTTGTAAATACTCAAGCCAAGTCTTCCTTGTCGTTCCCATCCTGGATACTCTACCCACTAGGTTTTCCCACCTTTTATCATCTGCCCCTCTTTAAAAAAAACCCATATCCAGTGTTATTTTTCTCAGTTGGATTTATGCTTAGACTTAACAAACAGAAAAGTTGAGAGAAGCTACCACCTAGTGGTTGGAGGGGAAACTTTATAAACTGAAAAGAACAGGGACACAGAAAGAAAGAAGGGGAAATAACCTGGAATTTGTGCATAAGTGAAACAGTAAGATGGGAACAGGCTCTGCCGTTAGGATTGCTCGGGTAGACTGATGCTGCCACCTGAGCAGTGCAGTAATGTTTTATAGGATAAAGGCTGGCCTTAGTTATGGTCTGAAATGGAACTTCACACTATCCCTAAGTAAGTGGAAAAAGCAATAAATTATCTAAGAGGACCCAGATGCAACCCTATGCACAACTACTAATGGAACAGGGGATTATACAGAAGAACCACAGCTACCTGAAGTCAGTTACTACCAAGGGAGAAGAGTTTATGAGGCCATGTACCTTACAAAGGGACAAGATAATTAAAGCAAGCTTAATTATCCAGGCTGAATATTAAGGAAAACTTTCCTAAGTGTGAGATGTACAAAGGGGAGGAAGGGAGTAGTCTCAAGGGAAGAGGGCAGCCTCCTATTGCTTGGGATATTTAAACTAGACTAAGAAAGTGCTAGCATACATATTATAGGAAACAATCCTGCCCTGCCCCTAAGGGTGGGAAATAAAGAGGAGACCCTATTGATCTTTTCTATCTAGATCTGTATGATTCAATGAGGATTTCATGAGTAAAATTCTACAACCAGCCAATCAGAACGGAAAGCTCTGCTGCCAACATTCCAATCCAGCTTAGCTAAATATAGGAACAAAATGTCAGTCAAATATACATTGTTATCCAGTCGAGGTCATTTGTGTGCAAGGTGCGTATAGCAAGCAGATTCTCTCAGTAAGTTCAGCAGCTGTGTTTGTAGCAGCAGCAAGCAAAAGCTGCTCCATCTCATCACACACAATTGCTCGAGGGCCATGACACCTCAGTCACAATGCAATGGCTACTGCTGCCACTAAATACCAAACAGAAGTGGAAGGGCAGAGGAGAAAGCAGCAGAATGAGGCACTGCCTTTCTCACTGGAGAATAGCTGAGAAAAATACAAGAGCTCGCTACAAATGAGTGTGTCTAAAAACTTCCTGGAATTTCCTGAGCTTCAAATGTTTAAATACTTTAAAAAACCCCAACTAATTTACAACTTTGTTTTTTTCCTAGAACTTGATATACTCTTAAGCATCATCCAAAAACTCAAAGTAAACAGCAATTTATAATTTTTTTAATAAAATACTATAATGTTCATTTCTATACAAATAATTATTACAACCATTAAACAAAATGTTACATTTAACAATAAAAATCTCAGAACTTTGAACAAGATAATGGTTTGGGATATTTACACCTGAATGCAACACATTTGTAAAAAGATGTCAAAATAAACAGAACAAGATCTTATTTACAATTGCAAGATGTTCCTGATCATATTTATTATATATTTCTGCTCTGGATTTTTTTTCCCTTAAAAAATAGTAGTGGGAGTTTCTACTGGGATATAACCAGGTACTTTAGAGCTGTACAATCTGCTACACAGCAGAAAACTCTGAACTAAGTATAAATAAAAATATTACATTGTGGAAAGTAAGAATATATTTTATTACTTTCTTGTGGTGAAATCCATATTGGTGTTCCTGCGTGAGAGTGGGAAAATGGGTACTCTACATTAATCATCCCCAGGTATGTGAGCAATGCAAGAGGATTGCATGACATAGTTGGAGTTTATAGTAAGACTGGGAAAATGGGAGCATATAGTGAGAGATGGAGAAATAACTAAACTTCTTTTATGTGGAGTAGTTGTGTGTACACACAAACACGGAGCCACTAAAGAAGGCCACCCATTTACAGATACAATGCACTGCAAATGATAACTGTTCTATTATATTTACTCTGCCCATGGCAAATGTGATTATCAGCAAATAAACAATATACTTTACAAGTTGCACACAAAGTAACTGTCATTACCATGAACAGAAGAGGGTTGTGTGACACCGTGGCCTTGTCTGCCCCAGGAAATGTTTTCTAACATTTCCAGCCATTGCTACAACAGGTTCAGCTGTTATTGGTGTTAGAAACTGCAGGAGTGCTAGTGCAGAGATGGTGTTGGCAGCTGCCAGCCTTGTGTGCGATGCAGGCCTGCTCTGACCAGCATTAGACAACCTGAGGCTTAAAAATCTAGTGCTCCCGTCCATGTTACCATGACAACGGGACTAGGGGTAGAAAGAGTGGGAAATATTACCAAAAAATCATAGTGTAGACAATGAATAAGGCCTTTGTACCATTGAACATTAAAACAAACATTGGAGCAATCTGGTAGAAATTGATCTTTGTATACTTTTTTCTCCTCATGCTCCCAAGTAAAAGGGAGATCGATTTAGTACAAGCCAGATCTCCAAAAGGATGAAGAGGGCGAAGGGATAAAGGAGAATCACAACTCTCAGTATTTGGCTAAATATAGCTATACAGAAGAAAACTACAGAAAAATAGTCCACTAGTGATACAGCCTCCGGACCTGGGTCTAAAATGCCTCGGAATAAAATTAAAAGACAACAGTAGGTCAAAATGACAACTTGAGTTCTTTTCTCTGGGTAGTCACTGGGACACTGCCAGAACACCGGCTTTCTGAATAGCACTATGGTCACCTGTCATGGCAGCAGCAGATCACAGCTTTAAAGTGCAGTAGGAAATCTGTGCAAAATTCAGGAGATACTGCACACAGAGCATACCAGAGCATTTTGCAGAGCTGTGTTCTTGCATCTACACAGCAGTTTAGTGATCAGTGCAGAGGAATAGGAATCAAAAGAGTTGTGTTCTGAGTCTGTTATTGACTCAGTCTGTGATTTGGGGAAAAATCACTTTTGTGCATGAGGTTTCCCTGGTTACTAAAAATAGGGATAAATACTTGCACATTTTTGTGAGACACTTGGAGACCAACTCTTTCGATGACAATACTAAAGTAGTATTAACTGTGTTGTGAGCTCCATATTGAACCTACCCCGATTCCTCACAATCCCTCACGGGATGCATGTGAAAAGGCTCAAAACAAGGCTCACTCATGTGGGAGAAAAATAATTGAGTTTCAGGGATTATTCTAAACTATATGTTGGGGAAAAAATAATTTTTAAATTGCTTCTAAAAATACTCTGTCTTTTTAATTGTCAATAGGAGAAACAGATGCCAAGTGGCTGTTGGTGCCACAGATATTTGATGAGGAGAACATTTGCCTGTAGAAATTCCTATTTATATGTTAACTGAACATGCTGAACTCATGTTGCTATTTAAAAAGGTGCTCTCAGTTTGCATAATAGCTCTGAAATTCTGGTCTTTGATGTACACTGAAGATATGTAATAATCCTAAAAATAGAGTTACCAAGTCAGTAGAAACCACAGAAGCCCCCTTTCCAAATAAACTCGTCCAGAAAATATGTTTAAGGTTTGCTTTACATCAAAGTCTTCCCATTAATCGGAACCCAAAACATGTCCATGTAAGTGCCAGAGGGAAAAAACCACTTATTGCCACTGAAAGTACTTCATATGTTAAGTCCTTCCTCTTGCCTATCCAAAAATGAACAAACACCTTCTCCCAGCTTGCAGGCTAGCTGATGCTGTCTCCCTAAAGCAAAGACATTTTATAGAAAGCATTTGCAGGAACATCACTCCTAGCAGCAGGGCTAGTCCCTTCTCACACTTATACAGTCACAGTTTGGCCCCTCTACTGCTGCATGATATTTAGTTCAGTAGCAAGGTGGGAGAGAGGTGACTGCACTTCTTCACACCATCAACTTTAATAAAAAAAAAACTCCTCTTACAACTGTGAAGCCTGTGACAAACCATTGGCCCTGGGTGTGAACGATAGAATAATTAGGTGCCTTTGGGAGCCTGTGCTCTAAGGCTGCTGCAGAGGATACATATTTACCTTAAGGAAACATACAGAGAAAACTTAGAGCAGAGAAAACACAGGAAAGCTATTGCAAAATAAGCTAGGTTGTGAATTTGAAGCACAGCCGCTACTCCACAGTAGCTCTGTGAAGACAATCTTATTCTGCACTGAATGCCTTTTAAGCTTAACTGCACAGAGGCACTTCTCAGTGCAGAAGAGACTATACGCAGGGAGCAGATGCAGAATAAGTATAACCACTCCTGGCAACGTTGCTGTGTAGACAATGCCCTAGGGGTATGTCTACACTAGCCCCCTAGTCTGATCTAGGGAGGCTAATGAGGGCGACCGAAATTGCAAATGAAGCGTGGGATATTTAAATATCCCGCGCTTCATTAGCATGTTCCCGGCCGGCCACCATTTTAGAAATTGACTAGCCCGTAGTAACTGCCCGCGTCTACACGTGGCAGTGAAATGGGATTCCGAATTAAAGCCCTTAAAATTGAATTAGCTGGTAAACCTCATTCCAGGAGGAATACAGCTAATTCAATTTAGGAATTTAATTCGGAATCCCGTTTAACTGCTGCGTGTAGATGCGGGCAGTTACTTCGGGTTAGTCAATTTCTAAAATGGTGGCCGGCCGGGAACATGCTAATGAAGCGTGGGATATTTAAATCCCGCACTTCATTTGCAATTTCGGTCACCCTCATTAGCTTCCCTCGATCGAACGAGGGGGCTAGTGTAGACATACCCTAGGGGAGTAAGAGGAGAAATGTCTTAATTCATACAATGCCATCTGAGTACAATAAAAGGTAACACTTCAGTTTGTACCAGTGTCCTAACCATTGTTAATCACACAGCGAGCGATCTGTCAAGACCTAGCACTCGGTTGCCTGTCCCAAAGGACCAGAACTAAGTTACAGCCAGCCAATTCCTGTTGACAGGGTTACACACTAGGGCTACACTTTTTTTCTCATTTACACAAGTGTGAAGCTGGAGTAACTCATTGAAGCCATGTTTTTGTAAATTTGGATTAACTAAGAACAGAATTTGTCTCCCTGCAATTTGGATTTTGATTGCTGTTCCTCTGAACAAGACCACAGGGAGGAAAAGAAAGATAGATTTAGTTCTAGATTGTCACCTTAAAGTAAGTAAGGTGGGCAGTAAAGCCTGAATTCCAGGCATCGATAAGGAATGTATGTTTTGTAATAATCCAGCTGGTCATTGAGAGGTTGCTGCTAGGCAAGCAAGTGCAGAGCCATTTCTCCAGGAAGAAACCTAGGAACCCTTTAAGAGGGAAATCCAGAAAAAGCTGTTTCAGTAGAACAGGCAATCTTTCAGGCCTACAGAACAGGCAATCTTTCAGGCATACAGAACTCCAGGCACCCATTCAGACTGATTAAGCAGTCAAACACTGACCCCTTTTTTTTCCCCAGAAAAAGTATGGAATGCAACAAAACAGCCAATGGATAGTCACCATGTCACTTTCAGAAGCAGAGAGTCTATTATCAAGCTTTCTAAATTTTGTATGTTAGTTTCTTTTCGTGGTTTCTTTTAATAGCAGTTAGCCAATTCCAATACACAGACATTAATATGCCAATTTTAACGTCATAAATGTCAGCAGGATCGGTTGTGTAATATGGCACATACACACACACACTCGGTAGAGTTACAAATTTCTTTTTGAACAAGATGGGCAAAAGATGGAATTTCCCCGTTTTGCACTTGCTAAATAGTTTTCTTCAAAAATCACTATATAGTGACATGGATTATATAGGAACTACTGTGCTTTGTAACTGTGCTGCTGGATTGAGTTCTCTAAAGAGTTTGTGTTTCTTGATAATTACTTTTGAGCCACGTATTGCAGGAAATGTGCGGCTCCTGCCAAGTTACAGGGTCTTTATGTCACTTAAGAAATCTGCACTAACACAGAGGGCCACTCTTTTCTACATTTTTTGTAGGTGGACAGAGAAATGTGTGGGGGAAGTTTAGGTTATTTGTAAAATTACTATTCAAGTTTACAGACATTCAGAATATGAAAAACAAAAATATTGCCCTGCATCACCTCATTTAATGCTGATAAAACTCCAGTGAAGTTAAACAGTGATATGAATTATTTGCCTTGCCAATTTTACACATTCACTTTGAGACTTTGTAGTGTGAAAACTGCAACCTGAAGCTGTTCAGTACTGTATGAATGCCTGAAATGATGAGTGAAACTAAAGCAACACCTAAGAACTTAAATTAATCCCACTTTATGAATTGTGGCCCAATCCTCTACTGCGTCATCTCTTGTGAGTCACTCATAACTGAGAGTGCCAAATACTACTCCACCAGCACGGCTGTTTTACATTCACTTTTCACAGGCATTTATGCCTACACAGGCAGTCTCTCTTCTCATGACTTTCTGAGGCAGTTTCAATGGCACTGTTCAACAGTATGAAACTTGTCCTACTGCACAAGGAAGCCCTTAAGGGACATTACAAGTATTTGAAAACTCCAGACAAACAGTGATTAGCTGAACCTCATAAAGCCCTTATGATGTCCCATCTGTCACAAAGCTGAAACAGGTAGAAATTCCTACCTGGATCGAATGTCTTGATGGACTGGGCTGTTATGCTTCACAGCCACGATGGAATATGGCCTGGCCTCCCCCATCCCTCGAGCATTTGGTGGCAGATACAGGAAGAGATTTTGCTGCAGCGTTCAGGAGCAGGACTATGAAGCACTGTACAGCTCAGTGTACCTAGCACTGCTTGAGGCATATTGCCTCTATCTGGTCTGCACAGGCTGGATGCCTCAGAGAAACTCAGGCTGTTACGCCTCACTGTGGCTACTAAGAGGGGCCCAGCTTGATCCTACACTTTGGGGAAATTGATGGCTGATAAAAGCAAAAATAGGAAAACTTGGAGTGATGGTTTGAGATGAATAAGAAAAAAAGACTTCTGTATTCCTTCAAGAAAATTACGTTGCAGAAGTCGCTAAATAAATATGATAATAACCTGGTTCCGTCCTTATTTGCACTTAATGAAATGAAGCCAAACAGTATACAATTCTCTTGAAAATATTTAAAAAAAAACTCACCTAAACCTCCCCAGTAAACATCATCTGTCCCCCTCCTCCTTCCTGACCAATGACCATGCTCAAATCAGAAAGAACTTCCCTATATGCCTGGTGTTTAAGCACTGAGAAATTCACCTCTCTGCCTCATCCACAATCACACTGGCTTAGCTAAAAGGTGCTAATTAAGTGCAAAGTATTAACGTTAAATTAGGCCTTGATCCTGCCATTGACAGAGAGTGGGCAGATTGCTATACCAATCAGGAGCCCTATCATCTTCAGTGAGATTCTGTGTAAGCACTAGTCTGCCCATTTGCTGTGAACTATAGGAAGAGCCCTTAATCCAGAAACATGAAGGAAAGAGGACAGATACAAGGACATGGATTACAAGAAGAAGAGGAGAGAAAAAAAAACTCGTGAAGAAAGTGCTAAACAAGGTATAGAGATGATACCCTGAAATAACTTGCAGCATACAAACAATGGAAAAGATAACAAACATGACTGTTGGCTCTATTTGTGATTACACTAAAAGGGGGCAATAAATTATCTGCTGCTATTTCAAATACAAATCTGAGTAAAATTCTTCTTCACAGAAAGTGAAAGCAAATCACGTTTTAAGCAGGGAAACTGAATATGTAAAAATAACATGTTTTACTGCTTCTCAGAAACTGACTTTGGAAACATACACACCAATTTTTTCCTGATTAAGTCAGCCTTAATTAGAATGTACATGACAAATACCTTTATCAACTAAAACTGGCTTGATACCAACTTGGCTTAAAGACCAGGTATGTGCGAGGCTCTTTAAGATACTTTACAAAAAAAAAAAAAAAAAAAAAACTAAACAGGTCACTTTATCTTCTGGACAAGTTAATTAACCAAGAATTAAAATAAAAACTCAAGCACTTCTTTCCTTCAATCTCATCTCCCACAAGGCTAATCTTTTACTTGGTACTTTAGATCCAAGAGCTGAAAGTGTCAGTTATTCTGGAAAGATCAGATTTCTGAATGCTGTAAAATCAGCATTCAATATTTGCACAGCTGTAGGTGTTGCATTCTTACTGTTACTAATAAGAATTGCTATAGGCACTGGTGCTTTAAAGTTAATCAGTGGGTGGATAGACAGTATGTATATACATACAGAAGAACCCACATATATACATACTTTTAGACAAACAGTGATGCTATGAATGGTCTCTTCAAAAACATAACCCTTCAGACTGAATGTCAGTCTATCAGTTTTCATACAGCTGAACTACAATCATGACCTAGAATATGGCTTATGTTGTGGGCAGGTCGGTTTGAGGATTGCTTGGAAGAATCTGAAACTGACGTGTTTGCTATTGAAAGCAAAGGAGACATTGCAGAACCATCTGGAGGAAGAGCTGTGGCTATTTCTGGAAACAAAGATGTTAAGTTAAAATTGGATAAGTGTGACGTATTGGTCATGTGCATTGGTGGCATATCTGGGAGGAGAGGAAAACTTGGCTGAGCAAAACCAACTGGTCTGGGAGGAGATAAAATGGATCCAAATCGATTGTTTAAACCTCCGCTAGTGGGCTTCTCTGTACTTGGATTAGGAAACATTTGATTGGGAAAGTAAGGGATTGAAATGTCATTGGACAGAGTAGGATGAGCAGGAGAATAAGGCGGATAGAAAGATGGCAGTGTATTTTGAGGATCTACTGGAATTAGAGCTGGTGTTCGAGTGGCACTGGGCTGAGTAACTGGTGGAATGAAAGAAGTATTGGCATTTATTGGTGGATTCATACTACCCTCTGGAATAAAAGGGAATCCAAAATTTTGAGACAAAGCATGCTGGTCAGCAGCTGCATTATCATTAGACACTTGAGGGCCATCAGACATAAAACGGACAATGCTGCCTCTTTTTTCTATTGCAGATTGTTGGCGCCCAAGGATCATACTGCCACCGGTAGACAGGGGAAGATGGGGTAGACTAGGGTCAAATACATTTCCATGTCTTTGATTGCCAGATCGATTCCTTTCAGGCTGACGGATTTTAGAACCACCATTATCCTGCAGAGGATGTCTCGATCGTTGAGTAACTGAAGAATTTGGCTGACGAACAGATGGCTGCCCTTGCTCAGCATTCCCATGAGAGATAGCAGGGTGGGGGAGAGCTGGCCGGACAACTCCATGCATGTTGCTAGAAACAGGTGTATTCATGTGGCTCTTGGTTGCATGACTGTCAGTCATTCTCATGGGATTGGATTTCTGTGCAGAAATATTTGGGCTTGTGTTTCGACCCTGAATATCTCCTGAGGAAGAAGAACTTGAAAAAGGAATATTTAAAGAACTATTCCTAGTA